CATGCTTTTAAATGGAATCAAGCATTTTAGCTTTAAAGTTAAATAACAAAGAGCTTTGAATAATTAGCCTAAACAATTAATAAACATCAATTCACGAATGCATGCAACTGTCTTTAGTCTGCTGTAATAAAGGCGTTATACATACTGTTGAAGTCGGAAGTTTACATACACCTTAGCCAAATACATTTAAACACAATTCCTGACATTTAATCCTAGTAAAAATTCCCTGTCTTAGGTCAGTTAGGATCACCACTTCAGGTTTGTAGGCCTCCTTGCTCGCACATGCTTTTTCAGTTCTGCCCACAAATGTTCTATAGTATTGAGGTCAGGGCTTTGTGATGGCCACTCCAATACCTTGACTTTGTTGTCCTTAAGCCATTTTGGCACAACTTTGGAAGTATGCTTGGGGTCATTGTCCATTTGGAAGACCCATTTGCGACCAAGCTTTAACTTCCTGACTGATGTCTTGAGATGTTGCTTCAATAGATCCACATACATTTCCTTCCTCATGATGCCATCTATTTTGTGAAGTGCACCAGTCCCTCCTGCAGCAAAGCACCCCCACAGCATGATGCTGCCACCCCCGTGCTTCACGGTTGGGATGGTGTTCTTCGGCTTGCAAGCTTCTCCCTTTTTCCTTCAAACATAACGATGGTCATGTTCTATTTTTGTTTCATCAGACCAGAGGACATTTCTCCAAAAAGTACGATCTTTGTCCCCATGTGCAGTTGCAAACCATAGTCTGGCTTTTTTATGGCGGTTTTGGAGCAGTGGCTTCTTCCTTGCTGAGCGGCCTTTCAGGTTATGTCGATATAGGACTCGTTTTACTGTGGATATAGATACTTTTGTACCGGTTTCCTCCAGCATCTTCACAAGGTCCTTTGCTGTTGTTCTGGGATTGATTTGCACTTTTCGCACCAAAGTACATTCATCTCTAGGAGACAGAACGCGTCTCCTTCCTGAGCGGTATGACGGCTGCGTGGTCCCATGGTGTTTATACTTGCGTACTATTGTTTGTACAGATGGATGTGGTACCTTCAGGCGTTTGGAAATGTTTCCCAAGGATGAACCAGACTTGTGGAGGTCTACAATTATTTTTCTGAGGTCTTGGCTGATTTATTTTGATTTTCCCATGATGTCAAGCAAAGAGGCACTGAGTTTGAAGGTAGGCCTTGAAATACATCCACAGGTACACCTCCAATTGACTCAAATTATGTCAATTAGCCTATCAGAAGCTTCTAAAGCCATGACATCATTTTCTGGAATTTTCCAAGCCGTTTAAATGCACAGTCAACTTAGTGTATGTAAACTTCTGACCCACTGGAATTGTGATACAGTGAATTATAAGTGAAATAATCTGTCTGTAAACAATTGTTGGAAAAATTACTTGTGTCATGCACAAAGTATATGTCCTAACCGACTTGCCAAAACTATAGTTTGTTAACTAGAAATGTGTGGAGTGGTTGAAAAACAAGTTTTAATGACTCCAACCTAAGTGTATGTAAACTTCCGACTTCAACTGTATATATTTTGTTGTTAGAACAGACTCTGGTACACTTATTTATTTAGTGTTGTTTACACTGTTACAAATGATCAGAAAAATAATATTGTAATCTAACAGCAACTGTTTGGCACACATAATCCTCACGCAACGCTTGCTCCTACACCCTCCTTTTTCTTGATCCCCAGTAGTTTCCACAACTAAGTCAAATGTCTTCCACAGATCTGACTTCCCCTTTCCCTCCTGAGCAACCAGTAAACATTCCCGTTTTGAGTTTCTTTTTCACGTCCCCTGCATCCATTTTGCTGTCACGTGTTACTGTGTTCTGAGTTTGTTTTAACCAATTTATTGATGTCATTATGATAGGTCAGGCCCTATTGGTCACATGCATGCGATGCTTATATGTTTCACGTAAAGAGAGCAAGGGTTGAGAGAATAGGGAATGTTTTTCCTAAAGAAATTGGGATTTGGGTAACAGAACCTTTCAGTCAGAAACAAGTAAGAAACTAAATGGCTGAAATGATGTTACAGCTTCAGCACAGACAGCGCAATAAACACTTGCTGTGGTGCCTTTTCGCTGCAGTAATGATTAAAAGCGAGACAACGTGCACCAGTCACACACTGTCATTTTTTAAAACACTGTGACCATCGGGCTCTTTCTTGAGTAATTTGTGTGTCTTTATTATATAATCAAACAGTATGCTTAAAGCATCAGACAAGCTCAGTGCATATGTAGTTGATTTTATTCAAACACATTGGGTGTGTGTCTATATATGGAAAGGTAAGGTTAAACTTTTCTACCAAGATTTGTTTTAGTCAGGGACAGCCCTACTGGCGAGTGTGTCTCACACACAATTAAACATTTTACATTCTAATCTGTCTGAGCCAGGGGGCATACAATAATTCAGTGTTTTTTTTGTTTCCATTGTTGATTTCTTATGATCAAATGGAAGCTTCCGTTATGGAAAGTATGCTCCCCAGGTCTGGAACATAGACTAAATAACACACACACACACAGTGGAAGTTAATATTTACAGTGATAGAGAATGGATGAAGCTGAATAAATACAGACTGAATAGATTGACCACTCTGACCAGCCTGGGAACAGTCACTCATTCATCCTGCTGTGTGTGTGTGTGTGTGTGTGTGTGTGTGTGTGTGTGTGTGTGTGTGTGTACACGGCGGTGGGATATGATAATGTGGTTGGCAAACCACTGAGCTGCCAGTTACAGGACAGGGATGGTTCACAGGGTTCAAAGCCCTGAGGAATCTGTCTTCAACATTCATCAGTTACCATGACAACCTGACCTTTGAACCCATCCTTTTTTCTCATTCATGTCATCCTCCTATGGTTAGTGGATGACATGACTGGATTGGTAAAAGCTATGATAGCTTTCTCCTTTGCCTTGATCTAATAGTGTTAGGGCTAGATCTGCGCTAGACGACACCCGCATAGTGGTTGTTTTGTCGGTGTTGGAACTGCGTTAGAGCTGTCAAATCCACAAGTGGCTTCCGGCATTATACCTAAAGTGGACATTGCCATTGGCTGCACGGAGTGGCATTAAGAAAAATCCCATTTAGCCTTGTTTACAAGTTCAAACAGTGGAATGTGATGTAATCTACACCTCAATTAGACTGATAGAAATCCTCATTTCGTTGAAGGATTTTCAATTTGATCATCATTATTTCTATAGCCCTATAGCCTACACTTTCTCGTTCTTAACTTCTAAGGCGAGTGGGACGGGTGTAGCTTTGTGACAATCACAAGAGCAGCTGCTCATCAATTTGACATCTCCGACACCGCCAAAACATCAGCTATGCTTGTGTCGGCTATCAATCTGATTGAATCTAGGCCTTAGATCAGTGATTACTTCAAGGAAGGGAGGAAGGATGGATGCATTGTGAAAGGATCTGAGTAGGGCTAATGTTTATCCCAGCTCAGTGTTGTGTTGAAACCAGAAGTCACCTGACGAGCTACTTACCCTCCAGCACTAAGTCGCAATCAGGAGTTTTGTGAATGTTTTTCAAATGAAAACACCCGTTTCTTCTGCTCAGTCATACACTCAGCAATAGCTCTGGGCCCGGTTTCCCAAAGGCATCTTAAGGTTAAGTTCATCGTTAGAACCATAGGATCCTATGATCATAGGATGATTCTAACCATGAACTTAGCCTTAAGATGCTTTTGGGAAACTGGGCCCTGGTAGCTAGTTTTTATCAGTTGATTAGGAGGGCACATTTTGGATGCAATGCACATCTCAGAGTCGATGTCAATAGTTGATCCCTCACTAGCTTGTTACACTGTCCATAAAATACCACTTCCAGATCTTTCACATACCCACTAATTCAACTGGAGTCAGAAATCAACAAGAGCTTAGAAGTACGTGCTGGATCGTGATCTTGGCACAGCGCCAGACATGTCAGGTCATTTTCTGACTCAAACACACTTCCACACACCGTGCAGCTTGAGTCAGGAGACACCACTGTGCCCATAATCTTTGCTCGGCTGGCTCCATCCCTCTATCCCTCTCCACATCCCTCATTGCATCCATCCCTCCATCTCTATGCCCTGGAACATTGCCATTTGTGCTAGGATGGTCTAGATCTGTTGGCCAATGTCCTAAAGCCAGACCGTTCCTCAGACTGTTGTTGTCATGCTGTAAAATTACAGAATTTGACTTGTAGGTTTGAGCTTGGATGTCTACTCACAAGGAGGACAGCCTTGGTGACACACAGGGACCCTCTACAGCTGCTCTCTATTGCTCTCTTCGTAACAGTGTATATTAGAAACAATGAATAGTAACGCGGAATCGTATTGCCTATTATATGTACTCAGTGACAAAAGCCTTGTTGAGACAGAGGGACCCTCTACAGCAGAACTGTCTCTCTGTCATCGGAGAGTTTTTGACTTAGTCTTTAGCATTTATAAAGTTGTATAGTAACATACTAAAGTATATGTGGTTCCCAAACTTTTTCACTCTGGCCCCCCTCCATCATTGCGGAACATCCCGCCAACCAACAAAGAAAATTTCTTGCAATTTTACACATTTTGCAATTTCATGTGATATCAGAGTGACTCAAACATTACAACAAAATCAATGGGCTAAAAAAACCATGGACTAGTTGATCTGGACATTTCTGACAAGTTATAAATAGCTCTCTAAGGTCTGCAATGACTGACATGACAAGAGGAAAGCTGCTGATGCACTACCACTGCCCCCCCCCATACAGTGCGACCATTCTATTAGCATATGCACCTAAATATTTTGCTGTGCGACCTGGAATTTTTTTATTCTCCGCACCTAATTATTACCTCATATTTTTCATTATGCTCCTAAATTTCTTTATGTGTGCCTACATTTTTCAACTTAGACGCACACGTGCTCCTTGTAAAAAAAGGTCTGCGTAGAGCCCTGCTTGGGGGCCCGCCCCACAGTTTGGGAAACACTGGTCTATAGAATAGTGTAGTATACTGGTCTATAGAATAGTGTAGTATACTCACAGTGATGACAGCCTTGCTGAGACACAGTGACCCTCTGCAGCCAAACTCTCTCTCGTCCTGAGACTTGTAGTAGCTCAGAGTGTTGTTCTTCAGAACCACCCAGCGATCCTGCCAGCCGTGGATGTAGTTAGTCCACTGAAGGAGAGGAGAGAGGGAATGTAAAATAAAGTTACTTCACTATGAGGGAGGAATTTACAAAGTGATAATGTTATAGTGAGGATGCACACAATAGTCTGGGACACAATACACCGTTTTTTCCCCTAAAGCAATGACACATTGTTGGGACAAGTTGGCTACAGCAGAAACTCTGACAACAATTCAAGTAATCAGAAAAAACACTCAATGACATTTGGATTGGATGAAAACAACAACCATTTCAAATCACACAATGGGTAGGTGATGAAACACTAGGAAGGGAGAGTCATGATTAGGACAGCCAGTGGGACACAAACCGTAAACTTACTGTGCTTTGAGCTCAGTCTATAACGTCTACATTCATATCTGATTCTTGACTAATTTCTTGATGAAATCTTCTACTGTGGTAACAATCTGTGGCAAGCACTCATTCACACACACACACGCGCTCTTTCTCACAGACACACACACACACACACGGCTGTATAAAAACAAGAGAATGTAAGGAATGTAATGTTTATCCATCTAAAACTCATGTATCACGTGTAAGGGGCTTACTATGATCGCACAGGTGAGTTTAACATGATGACATGCAATAATCTCCCAACCATAGAAATAGAACGGGCGTCCCCATTCAAGTCAATGATGGCATAATGGGTGGACTGGTGGCCATTATTATGTGCACCCATACTAGGCTAGGTCGAAAATATACAGGTTAAGACAACGTAATAATTCCATGCAGCAGCGTTAGAAAATAAACACATTTATTTTGACCAGCGCCGTTGATAACTACTAGGTCCCATTTTCGCAAATAGTTATGGTATATTAGAACCCGTTGTCTTAACCTTTGTCTTCTTCCAACTAGCCCATAGGAGCAAAGCAGAAAGTAAAAGCAGAAAGTGCATCCATCAATCTGTGCTGTAATTTGTTGAATCAACTCAAATTACATTACACAAAATACATTGAACAAAAATATAAATGCAACAATTTCAAGTTGTTACAGTTCATATAAGGAAATCAGTCAATTGAAATAAATAAATTACACCCTAATCTATGGATTTTAGATGACTGGGAATACAAATATGCATCTGCTAGTCATATATACCTTTAAAAAAGTTAGGGGTGTGGATCAGATAACCAGTCAGTATCTAGTGTGACCACCATTTGCCTCATTCTGCAGGACACATCTCCTTCGCATAGTTGATCAGACTGTTGATTGTGCCCTGTGGAATGTTGTCCCTCTCCTCTTCAATGGCTGTGCGAAGTTGGTGGATATTGGCGGGAACTGGAACACGCTGTCGTACACGTCGATCCAGAGCATCCCAAACATGCTCCATGGGTGACATGTCTGGTGAGTATGCAGGCCATGGAAGAACTGGGAGATTTTCAGCTTCCAGGAATTGTGTACAGATCCTTGCAACATGGGGCTGTGCATTATCATGCTGAAACATTAGGTAATGGCGGCTGATGAATGGCACAACAATGGGCCTCAGGATCTCGTCATGGTATCTCTGTGCATTCAAATTGCCATCGATAAAATGCAATTGTTTTCGTTGTCCGTAGCTTATGCCTGCCCATACCATAATCCCACCATGGGGCACTCTGTTCACAATGTTGACATCAGCAAATCGCTTGCCCACACAACGCCATACACGCTGTCTGCCATCTGCCTGGTACAGTTGAAACCGGGATTCATCGGTGAAGAGCACACTTCTCCAGCAAATCACTTGAGAGAAATAAGGTTTTTGTGCATTTGAAAATTTCTGAAATCTTTTATTTCAGCTCATGAAATATGGGACCAACACTTTACATGTTGCGTTTATATTTTTGTTCAGTATACATTCCATTGCATGAGTCACATCAGTTAGCATAATTTGAATGAACATTCTACATTACCATGGGAATTATTGCATCACAATACCAGGCAGCCATTGCAAGTGTACCCATGAGTTTACCTGTCAAATTGTCAGGGTTAGAGATTCCAAACCCGTTTCATTAATTATATTTCTATGCTCTCAACATGCTTGGGTTGGCAGGTCAGGCAGACAATCTAGAATGACAACCCCACACAGCTTTCAATTAGATCAATCAGGCAATAACTGATTCTATAAGGCTTAGTTCTTGACAACCCTTCTCCTGTACATAGGGGTTTTCAGCGGTTACATTCGCCCACAGTTGGCTCTATGTGAGGGGAGAGGGAAACCAACACTGCTTCGTTGAACTTGCACCACATCTGTACTGGCCAAGTACCCTCAAATCATCAACCTGTTTCATTCTTGTCTCGTTAGCCGTCTCTAGCTAGTTACCCATCTCAACAACCCAGACTGAGTTAATAAACTACTGTAGGGTCCTACTAGGGAGTGAGCCTAAAGCCAGCTTTGACGTTAATGTTACCTTGCTGAGGATTCCACCGAACTCGGCGATGCCAACAACTGGCTGCCCGACTCCCGATTCCGAGGTCTCCACATCGTCATCGGAACCCGAAGAATTCCAGCTCTGGTTATCCGACATTGTTGTTGTTTAACTATCTAGCTTGCTAACAAGCTAACGTTATCTGACAGTCGATTAAATGAACACAGATATCAAAAAATGAAAGTGTTAGGAAAGACACATCTAGCTATAAAAATGTCCTAAATAATTATTGCATCGCTAGTGTTCGTCCAAATTGGCTCTTCGCCTGGCAGCCTCAGTATTTCTCACCAGCCTGTAACGTCAGATTAGCTAAAATGTTGCACAGGACAGGAGCTAGCAATTAATCGCACCTGCCCCTTTATGTTACTTCTTCTAGCGGCAAACGGTCCAGTTTGAAATACTCTAAACACGAGTAGCTCGTTGAAATAAAGAATGTCGCTCTTCTAACTGATTTCGTAATGTAATCCCTAATTTACTACGACAAAAACGCGTTTTATCAGTAGATGTGTATTTCTATTGCGGCTGACACCTCTACCAAGCACCATATGCACACGGATGTAGAATCAGAGAGTGGAGAGCGTGCTAGGGCTTGTGTGGAAGGGGCGCTGGCTGCTGGGGTGACGTCACTTAATCTATTCCCGAAAAAGAAAGCAAGCCCCTCCTTCGTGTACTACATACAGTAAATAGCATGGCATATCATGTCAATTACTATATATGCATTATTTCTCATTCACATGCCATGCTCCTTTGACCGTATGTGTCTATTATAGGACAGACAGACAAACATGTCTGCCAAGAGTTCTGGATTTTCATGGCACAGGTGGGAGTGATTAGCCCTGAGGGTCACATGGTCAAGGGTCAAGCCCTAGTTAGCTGTTCCCCCTTATTCGCTACAATCTCAATGAACAAACAGCTTTTTTAAAATTTAAATGTCACTTGAAATCAGTGATGACCTGGTGTGAATGGAACAGTACACCACTATTTATTGATGACAGTGGATTAGTGTGTTTGTGTTTCAGTAACAGCCCATTAGAACAGACTCGCTGAGGAAACCTACACCTACCTGTATAATACCTGTGTTGTCATATAAGTGGGAAAGCAGTGATTTATGTGGGCCTAGTAATCAATCAATCATTCACATTTATTTATAAAGCCCTTTTTACATCAGCAGAAATGTAGCCTAAAACCCCAAACAGTAAGCAATGCAGATGTAGAAGCACACACACACACACACACAAATAGCCTACCCACCTTACTCAATTCTTAAAGCCGTCCAACTGTCATGACATCCCCAAAGCCCCAAGTTCATTAATCTTCTTGTCGCACCCCCTTCCTCTCTGTCCCTCCCTCTACCAGTCATATTGGTAAGAACACATGAGCTGACTCACAGGAAAGCCAGAGCTTTAAGTATAAGTCACAGTCATGTGATAATCCATGCCCGCTCGGCTGGGCTGCTCTCCCTATCACACACACACACACATGCACACGCACGCACACACACGCCTGTGTGATATGCCTATCCTTATTCCCTCCTCTCCTCCAGTCTTGAGATGAGATGGCCTACGCTACGCTACGCTATGATTTCCAGAATGGCTCCGCTAGATGGGTCCCTCTGATTCTATTCTACTTAGAACCATACATACAGTATATCACAGTGGTATCACAGTGGTATACAGCCAAGCTTCAGTGTGTGTGTACGTGTTTGTGTTTAAATTACCCATAAACACTGATCTAGGGTCAGTTTTGTGGATTTAAAACTGGCATTTAAAGAGGGTAAACTGATCCTAGTTCTGAGCCTAAGGGCAACCTCTCCTCTACTAGCAGTTCACCATATGGCTGTGTCATGGGTTCCATGGCCCTGACTTGGAGCTCAGTGCAATCATGAGACCCGTGAGAGGAAACCACAAGACCTCCATTAGCTGAACACACACACACACACACACACACTCACACACACCTCTGTTAGCCAAACAACAATACCATCCCTCTTCCCTAGAAGCAGCAGATTACCTCCAGCTCTGTGGATTCCAGGCAAAGCTCAGCATAAATTAGCAACGCTAGCTCCCTGCCTAAGAAACGTTAGCTCCCCGCCTTAGCAACATTAGCTCCTCGGCCCACCTTAGCAATATTAGCTCCGGACCTTACACAAACACAAAATACCCAAATGCAGTATATAGAGACAGTATATACAGACATTATGTAAGGGCATTGTGTGGGGATTCAAAATTATTGTGCAGTCGGCAAACCCCTGCACCCTGGCAAAAACAGGCTAGATAATATACAGATCCACCTAGATTACAGCATGTACAGTAGTAGGCCTATGTAAATTATACCCATTGGCATGTCTGTCTGTCTGTCTGGGAGCATATGTCTCTACTGTAGCTCTCAGGAGGCCAGTATTAGCTCTAATTAAGAAACCTATCGAACCAAAAACATAGAGACCCAGAAAATCTGAGCCTTCAGTATGGTGAATCACTAAAACAATACAGAAGTACACTACGGAAAAATAAGGAACAGCACGTCAGAAATCAGCTCAATGTAATTAAAGAATCCATAGAATCAAACCACCTTTGGGGAAATTGGAACACACTAAACAAACAACAACACAAAGAGTTATCTATCCAAAACGGAGATGTATGGATAAACCCCTTCGCCAATCTTTTTGGCTCTATAACAAAGAACAAACAGCAAAAATATAAACATGATCAAATACAAATCTTAGAATCAACTATTAAAGACTACCAGAACCCACTGAATGAACTACATTGAATGAACTACAGGACAAACTATAAACCCTCCAACCCAAAAAGGCCTGTGGTGTTGATGGTATCCTAAATTAATGATAAAATATAGAGACCTCAAATTCCAATTGGCTATACTTAAAATCTTTAACATCATCCTCAGCTCTGGCATCTTCCTCAACATTTGGAACCAAGGACTGATCACCCTAATCCACAAAAGTGGAGACAAATTTGAACCCAATAACTATTTTGGGATGTGCGTCAACAGCAACCTTGGGAAATTCCTCTGCATTATTATTAACAGCAGACTCGTACATTTCTTCAGTGAAAACAATGTACTGAGCAAATGTCAAATGGGTTTTTTACCAAATTACCGTACGACAGACCACATATTCACCCTGCACACACTAATTGACAAACAAACCAAAACAAAGGCAAAGTCTTCTCATGCTTTGTTGATTTCAAAAAAGCTTTTGACTCAATTTGGCATGAGGGTCTGCTACACAAATTGATGGAAAGCAGTGTTGGGGGAAAAATATATGGCATTATGAAATCCATGTACACAAACAAAACCACACACAAATGTATTTTCACAGGGCCGTGGGGTGAGACAGGGATGCAGCTTGAGCCCCACCCTCTTCAACATGAAGCGCATTCGAAAAGTATTCAGACCCTTTTACTTTTTCCACACAATACCCCATAATGACAGAGATTTTTTTGCAAATGTATTAAAAATAAAAACCAGAAAGACCTTATTTACATAAGTATTCAGACCTTTTGCTATCAGACTCTAAATGGAGCTCAGGTGCATCCTGTTTCCATTGATCATCCTTGAGATGTTTCTACAACTTGTTTGGAGTCCACCTGTGGTAAATTCAATTGATTGGACATGATTTTGAAAGGCACACACATGTCTATAGAAGGTCCCACTGTTTCCAGTGCACGTCAGAGCAAAAACCAAGCCATGAGCTCGAAGGAATTGTCCGTAGAGCTCCGAGACAGGATTGTGTCGAGGCACAGATCTGGGGAAGGGTACCAAAACATTTCTGCAGCATTGAAGGTCCCCAAGAACACAGTGGCCTCCATCATTTTTAAATGGAAGAACTTTGGAACCACCAAGACTCTTCCTAGAGTTGGCCGCCTGGCCAAACTGAGCAATCGGGTAGAAGGGCCTTCGTCAGGGAGTTGACCAAGAATGTGATAGTCACTCTGACAGGGCTCCAGAGTTCCTCTGTGGAGATAGGAGAAACTTCCAGAAGGACAACCGTCTCCGCAGCACTCCACCAATCAGGCCTTTATGGTAGAGTGGCCAGATGGAAGCCACTCCTCAGTAAAAATCACATGACAGCCTGCTTGGAGTTTGCCTAAATGCATCTAAAGACTCTCAGACCATGATAAACAAGATTCTCTGGTCTGATGAAACCAAGATTGAACTCTTTGGCCCGAATGCCAAGCATCACGTCTGGAGGAAACCTGGCACCATCCCTACGGTGAAGCATGGTGGTGGCAGCATCATGCTGTGGGGATGTTTTTCAGCAGCAGGGACTGGGAGACTAGTCAGGATTGAGGGAAAGATGAACGAAGCAAAGTATCGAGAGAACCTTAATGAAAACATGCTCCATAGCGCTCAGGATCTCAGACTGGGGCGAAGGTTCACCTTCCAACAGGACAACGACCCTAAGCACATAGCCAAGACAAGGCAGGAGTGGTTTCTGGACAAGTCTCTGAATGTCCTTCAGTGGCCCAGCCAGAGCCCAGACTTGAACCTGATCAAACATCTCTGGAGAGACCTGAAAATAGCTGTGCAGCAACGCTCCTCATCCAACCTGACAGAGCTTGAGAGGATCTGCAGAGAAGAATGGGAGAAACTCCCCAATACATGCCAAGCTTGTAGCGTCATACCCAAGAAGACTCGAGGCTGTAATTGCTGCCAAAGATGCTTCAACAAAATACTGAGTAAAGGGTCTGAATACTTATGTAAATGTGATATTTCATTTTTGTATTTGTAATACATTTGCTAAAAATTCTAAAAACCTGTTTTTGCTATGTCATTATGGGGTATTGTGTGTAGATTCTTGAAGGAACTAAACAATTTAATCAATTTCTAAATAAGGCTGTAACCTAACAAAATGTGGAAAAAGTCAAGGGGTCTGAATACTTCCCGAAGGCACTGTATTATTTAGTATATATAAAGACAAGATTAAATCAATAATAGTCTGATGGGTGACAATATTAGCCTATCACTTGTGAATTAGATGGTCCTCTGTAGCTCAATTGGTAGAGCATGGCGCTTGTAACGCCATGGTATTGGGTTCGATCCCCGGGACCCCCCATACGTAAAAATGTATGCGCACATGA